AAAGCCTTATGGGGTACACTGTCACAGGTGTATTAACAAGAATGTAGTTTGTAAGACATGGGAGGTAATGGTCCTGCTCTGCTCGGCACTGGTGAGGCCTCAGCTGGAGAACTGTGTCCAATTCTGGGTGCCACACTTTAGGAAAGAGGTGGACAAATTGGAGAGAGTCCAGAGGAGAGCATCAAAATGATAAAAGATTTAGAAAACCTGACCTATGAGGAAAGATTTTAAAATCTGGTCACGTTTAGTCTTGCGAAAAGATGACCAAGGGGGGAGCTCATAACAGTCTTCCAATATGTTAAGAGCTGTTATAAAGAGCACGTTGATTGATCGTTCTCCATGTCCACTGAAGGTAGAAGTAAAGGGCTTAATCTGTGGCAAGAGAGATTTAGGTTAGATATTAGGAATAACTAACTATATGGTTAGTTACGCTCTGGAATAGGGTTCCAAGGGATGTTATGGAATCCCCCTCACTGGAGGTTTTTAAGAACAGGTTGGACAAATACGTGTCAGGGATGGTCTAGGTTTGCTTGGTCTGGCCTCAGTGCAGGGGGTTGAAGTAGAGGACCTCTCAAGTTCCCTTCCAGCCCTACATTTGTGGGATTCTAGGATTCTATAGGAAGGAGCAGCTGCGGCACTGACCTTAACTTACTGGCTGAAGAAACTATGATTTTTAGTGCTTGTCATTCTAGTATCAGCCTTCAGTTGCCTCTGCGTCATAGAGGAGATATGCTATCACAGGAACCAATCCTCCAACCAAGAGCAGACAGACCAATACTAGCTGTTAGATATTAAATAGAAAATGGATATTCAGATGAGGTGGATATCACTCTAATAGTACTCTGGTAGAAGTCATCAGGCAGAACCTATTCTACATCTGGCTGAGATCCTGTTGCTGATACAAAGATAATAGAATCAGTACTATAGAAAAGCAAGTGAAATACAGACTTATGTTCTTCCAGGACGGTCTTGATTTGGATATAGGAATGTCCAAGTGAAGAGTCCAACCCTCACTAGTGTCATCTGTTCTCGTTATGTTCAACAAAAGGAGGATTGGTGAATGTTTAGACTGGGTTTTCTTTGGGCAACAACCTTGATTCTCCCCCCAATAAGGCCGTAGAACTCAGTCTTGAACCATCAGCTTGGCCCCATGCCCTATTTTAAATCTTATGTGAGGTGTCAAATTTGCTATGCATCAAAATTGCAGTCTCAATAACTATTAATTCCCTCAGACACGTTTTTGGAGTTGGGAGTTCATTCTGAGACCCAGTGCTGAAATACAGAAAGATTTTCTATAATACCTCCCTCAGACATCAGAGTCCGTGCTTTAAGAGCAGTGAAATATTTGTTGGTTAAAAGTTGTATGTCTTCTTTGAGGAAATCCGTAAGGCGACTAGCTGGCCATCACCGTATGAACCGACAACATTCTACAGATTCCTCATATACGTGTGAAGCTCCTCTCATGATTCCATAGTTCAGGTTGAATTGAGTTTTACATTTAAAGCAGGGATTCAGCCACTTTCTGATGTATGTAGAATCATAGAATAGTCTGTAAAAGAAGCTTACTGGAACATCTCTGAGGGTGAGATTTCATCTGTAATCACTTTCTGACTGTATTAGGTTTAGACTTGCGTGTTTTATTTTATTTTGTTTGGTAATTTACTTTATTCTGTCTGTCATTACTTGGAACCACTTAAATCCTACTTTTTGCATTTAATAAAATCAGTTTTTACTTATTAATTAACCTAGAGTATGCATTAATGCCTGGGGGAGGGGAGGGGTGGAAACAGTTGTGCATATCTCTCTATCAGCGCTAAAGAGGGCGAACAATTTGAGTTAAGCTTTATACAGGGTAAAATGGATTGATTTGGGGTTTGGACCCCAGTGGGAGCTGGGCATCTGAGTGTTAGAGACAGGAGCACTTCTTAAGCTGTTTTCAGTTAAGCCTGCAGTTTGTGGGACGTGGTTCAGACCTGGGTCTGTGTTTGTAGCAGGCTAGCGTGTCTGGCTCAAACCAGGCAGTGCACTGAAGTCCTAAGCTGCCAGGGGAAACAAGCTCAGGGGTAGTCTCAGCACATCAGATGGCAGCTCTTAGGGGGGTTTCTGTGATCCAACCCGTCACAGTGGCGTAGTCGGCAGGATCTGTGCACAGCTGATTGCTTGGAGATACTGGTAGTGATTTTAAGTGAGTTTTGGGTGTGGTGGCTGGAGAACAGACAAAGTGGTTACCAGTTTGTTACTTTCTGTTTGCTTATTTTGGGTAAGGGAAATAGGGACAGAAAGATAAACAAAATAAGTAAGAGGGAAGATCAGAAGAAGCTAGAACTACACAAGTTGCAATTTGCCCAGAAAGGCTGAACACTGGGCTCTGGGAAAGTCTCTGTTAACTAGGAATTCCCTGAGCTGAGTGCATCTCAGTTTTAGTGAACTGCAGAGGGGGTGGGGCCCAGCACGAGACAGCAGGAAAATGACTACCAGTGAGGCAGCTACTAAACTAGAGTTGGCCAGACTGGAAGCAGAAGAGAAGGCAAAGGACCGGGAATTTCAATTGAAACTCAAAGAGGCAGAGGCAGCCAGGGAGGAGGCTGCCCACAAAATGGCTATGGAGGCAGAAGCAGCCAGGGACAAAAGAGTCCTGGAGTTAAAAGACAGAGAAATACAGGCCCTGATTGATGTCCAGAAGCATGAACTGGCTGTTATGGAATGGAAGAGACAAAACCCTCCAGCTGCTGGCTCCACTTCCCCCAAAATCCACAGATGGGAGCGACTGTGTCCACAGTACGATGAATCCAGCGATATTGCCGAATATCTCATCACCTTTGAGAGACTGTGATCCCTCCATGCTATCCCTGAAGGTCAGAAGATGACCACATTGATAGCAAAATTGACTGGCAGAGCTCTGGACATATTCATTAAGATGCCTATTGATGATGCTTCAAACTATGGTAAATTTAAGGAACTGGTCAGGAAACAGTTTCAGGTTACACCTGAAACCTACAGGGTTAAATTCAGGAGTCTTAAGAGGGGACCTGGATTAATTAATATGGTTTATGTAACTGAAATGAGAGATTTGGTAGATAAGTGGGTAAGGGGGAAAGGCATTACAAGCTTTGAAGGAATGTGTTTTTTGGTTACTCAGGAACAATTCTTGAATATGTGCAGTGATGATGTAAAACAGTACTTCTGGGACAAAAAGGTGAATGCAGTCAGTGAATTAGCTGGGTTTGCAGACTCTTTTGAGCAGTCACAAGCTGCAATTAAACATAAACCACTGGCAGAGGGGTACAGCATTGGGGGAAAGCAAAATCATCGTTTCACCCCTGGGAAAAAGGAGGCTCGGCCTTCATCTCCTCATTGCCTTGTTACTCGTCCCAAATCTTCTGTACAAGCAGAGGAGCCCAAGAGGTGCTATCATTGTAAGTCCACTGAGCACCTGAGGAATAATTGCCCTTGGCTAAGAGGGAACAGGCAGCAGGTAACACATGAAACTGTTACTTCTCAGAGCCAGGCTGCTGCCTCTTTCCACACAGGATTTATAAAGGGTGCTTCTACACAGCCAGCAGTGAGCATATGCATGCTGTTAAACTGAATGGGAAAGTTCTTCTTGGTTTAAGGGACAAGGTACAGAGATTAGAACAAGGGACAGTAACCACAGAGTGGGAGTGATTGCTGGACACAGACTAAAAGGAGGCTAGTCTGTAAATTAACCCAGAGTATGTATTAATACAGGGGGGGGGGGGGAGGAGAGAAGGAGGAAGGGGGCAAACAGCTGTGCATATCTCTCTCTCAGTGCTATAGAGGGTGAATAATTTATGAGTTTACCCTGTATAAGCTTTATTTGGGGTTTGGACTCCATAGGGAGCTGGGCATCTGAGTGCTGGAGACCGGAATACTTCTTAGCTGTTTTCAGTTAAGCCTGCAGTTTGTGGGACGTAGTTCAGACCTGGGTCTGTGTTTGCAGTAGGCTAGCATGTCTGTCTCAAACCAGGCAGGGCACTGAAGTCCTAAGCTGCCAGGGGAAACAGGCTCAGGGATAGTCTCAGAACATCAGTTGGCAGTTCCCAAGGTGTTTTCTGTGACCCAATCCATCAAACCCAGCCCTTCCTGGAAACAAAAAGTTCATCCAATGTCAGAGATGGGAAACTGGCATCCAAAGCTTTCGTTTGCCATTCGGGGATATTGTTCCAATGCCCTGCAGTAGCAGAGACTGCTGTGTCTGTAAGGTATCGTTAACAGTCTGCAACTAGGGAAACTGGGTGAAATGATCCAGGCTGTGGAAGTGAGCTCAGCTGGAGGGATCTTCCAGGCTGGCATTTCCCTTCTGCCAGTGACTGACAGGTCTGGGTCTGCCCCACTGCAGGCAGGCGGAAGACCCATGGTATCAGTTCTATGACCTCTGTTACTTGAAGAAAATAATATTTTAACTGAGCTCAGATAAAATTCATCCTGACTGAACAAAAAAATCTGTTTTTAAAATTCCCACAGATGATTATTCTCTGAACTAGTGGGGGTGGGGGCATACCTGGCATTGCAAAACTCTTGCTAATCCCGATATGATATTATACTTGCACATGGATACCGTGGTAATTGGTGCCTTAATTATTACTGTTTGTGTGGCAGTAGCCACCATAGACACCAATCAGCGATCGGGGCCCATTATTAGTCATTGTCACTACACAGATTAAAAAGGCAGCTTGTGTCCCAAAAAGCTTAAAATCTGCATTGTGACAAGATGCAACAGACAGATGAGACAATTGGGAGTGGAGGAGGAGAGAATGAGGTAACAGTAAAGCTAACACATTATCAGACAGAGAGCAAGATGGATAGAAAGAGATTCCAGTGGAGGGTCAGATGACAGGGCACATTGATTTGAGCCTTCAGTGCTGGAGTTCTTTCTCATAGTGTGTCTTTAATATGAGACAAGGTTAATAAACGAAATTACAACACTTCCTTATCCTCTCCAGTGATCACTGACTATGTGCTTGTGTGGAATTTTCCAGGTATCACTTTATGGGGCATTGAGGCCCTTAAGAAAGACGTGGAGACAATGCCAAAGCACAATACTGAATTCCAGATCATTGCGTCCGACACCATTGAAGATAAGGCCTCAGCCCTCAGGCTGTCTTCATCCCTGAAGGCCAGTCTCCTGGGGAGGCTGGTAGAAGTAGGTGGATCTGCAGCATTTTTAAATGATACAAAGAAATCAAAATATCACGCTCGAGTTGCTCTCCACTACTCAGTGACAAACAGGTTTGAGCACCTGACCATGAGCCAGTTGGGGACTGAGAACGTCTCTTATCCTGCTGTGTTTGACCAAGGCACGGCCACCCATGTGGTCACAGCTGTGCTGTACGGGGCTCAGGCTTTCTTTGTGTTTGATCGGGAAGTTTCTTCATCAGAGAGTATGCGAGAGATAGAGGGGAAAATGAAACTGATGATAGAAAAGATCCCAAAGGTTTCTGGCGGAGCAGAAGTGTCTGGGGAAAAGGGGAACAAGGAAGAAGAAAGAAAAGAAAATTTCAGTTGCAAATTTTATGGTGATTTTGCCCTGGAGAACAATCCGGTTACTTACCAAGATGCCATGGGAGTTTACTCCACTCTCCCTAAGCGGCTTGGAGTCGCTGGGGAAAACGCTGTACCGGTGCGAGTCTGGCTGTACCCACTGAGCAAGCTGGACTCCAGAGCTGCCCAGCTAGTGCGTGAGATCAGCGCGGTGCTGGTTTATGATGCTCAAAGTGCCCTGGAGCACCTGACTGAGTGCAACGTCCGGTGCAACGACATGGTGAAGGACAGAACGGCTACAAACTTCCCCGAGATCCAGAGGAAAATCCAGCAATTCAGAGATCTGTGTAAACAGCACAGACAGACCTTCCAAAAAGAGCTAGCTAGAACCCTGCCCTCTATCCGTGGAGGCGGAGCAGAGGAGGGGGCCCTGGTGGAGATTTTAACCAACAAGGAGCAATCGCCATTTGGTACCCAGAGACTCAATGAATTTCTGGAGAAGAAACAGGAGGAAATGGATTTTGTCAATTCCTACCTGGCTGAGCTAGGGGAGGTGGAAGTCGTATCCTCCAGGAGTGAGCGACAATGTATAGTTCTCAGCCCCAGGCATGAGTTTGTTGTGTCTCTTTCACTCACTTCATTGCATAATGAGGAATCCTATTTATCAGAATTAAATCTATCGTTGAGGAGACAATTTATGAAGAAAACTCATGATCCAGCATTAGCCAGTTCTGCCTGTGAGACACCAAAATCCAAACAGTGGTTTGAGGACGAAGAGATAAGAAGAAAAGCACGACAAGCTGTAAAGTCCTTCTCTGGCTTTGCCCGTGTCAACAAATCTAACGGGACGACTCGGTTCATTGTGACCTCAGTTCCAGACAAGGACAATCCCGGCACTGCCATTTACCTGTATGCAGATGGAGAGCTGATCAGCACCAACTTTGAGCCTCCATCAAAGCCTCGTCCTCCCCTGATGGATGGAATCAGACATGACCGTGTGCAGCTCACGTTTAACCCAGCAGCCTATGGCAGGGCTGCGATATCCGGCTATCGGGCAGAGTACAGAATTGTAGGGCAGGAGAACTGGACGGCTGTGACTGTAAATAACAAACAAGAGACATTCACAGTAACAGGGCTACGTGCAAACACCGAGTACCAGTTCTGATACGCTGCTGTGAGCAAACCAGGGCTCAGCGAGAGCAGCGACGTGAGTGATCCTGTGAAGACTCTTCCTACCAGCCCGCCTGGGAAGCCTGTAACAGCTACTGTAGGCTCATGTGCTGTAGTCCTCAGTTGGCAGGTACCAGCTGTCACTGGAGATGGAGTCAGTATAAGGGAGTATAAGGTGGACTATAAAGAGGAAGCTGGAGGTGAGCAGAAGGACATATGGCTGGAACGAAGGACAGGAGAGAGAACAGAGTCCTGTACCATTGATGGACTGAGGCCACAGATGACTTACAGATTCCAAGTGTCGGCTGTGTGTGCAGACGGGGCTGTGAGTGACCCAAGTGAGGAGACATCTGTTTCAACTCTAAAGGTAGGACAAAATGTAAATAAAACTGCGTGGACCTTACTCAGACTTACGTTTCTCATACATGATGCCTGAAAATTAGTGTAATTTCCAATAGGGAGATGGGTTGTCTACTGGAAATCACATGGTAATTTGATGATTAATTTGGTAATTGGTAATTAATGGTAATTTCCAAAAGACAGCATATTCACTGAGATTAGAAAAGAAGGGGAGTTAAGAAGGTACTTGGGAAGTAAGTGGGGTCAAGGGCGGGCTCTTTTAGGATGGGAGATACTAAGAAATGTCTGTATTGTGAGGGGAAGGGGCCTGAGGAGTGGGAGATGTTGAGGAGGGGAAGGGAGGGGGGAACTATTAGGAGTGATCAAGAGACAAGATGGGATGGGTGCACTGGAGATGGTGGAGGGGTTAGACATTTCTTGTCAGATCTCCGTTGTGCCAGT